ATGGTCTTTCCTGTAACTCTATGTTTTTGAATAAATACAAGTGGGTCAGCTAGGGGAGAGTGATTTAGACTCTCTTCTAGTCTGGCCGAACCTTTCTTTCTTCTTCTTCTTCTTCTTCTTTATCTTTTCTTTCTTCTTCTCTACTTCAACCTAGAATCTGCTAGAGTTTACTAACAGCCACCATTCTACTTAACACCTCAGCCACTACAGTAAAGAGAAAGGGAGATAAGGGGTCTCCATGCCTAATTCCTCTCTCTGCCGGAAAGAAATCCCTCACTACTCCATTAATAAGAATTGAGTAATGGGCAGAATTCAGACATCCTCTGATCCAAGATCTCCACTTAGTTCCAAAGCCTTCTCTTTTACAGTTTGTTCTACAATGAAAGCACATTTTGGGAGATAAGCAACAAAAAAGCCTTCTCTTTTGCAGGTTATTAGTGGTATTTATCTTCATTTGTACTACTTCCCAACAGAAAATCCTCACCTTTGGGATCTGTTGGCTTTTGAGGGTGTGCTCTAGGTATCTGTTGAATTTTGAGGTTTGGTTTCCTCGACATTTTTCTTTTTGTTCTTTTTTATCCATTTTTATTAACCTTTATTTTTTGTTTAGAATTAAAAGGAAAATTAAAACATTTGTAAGGCCAGCTATGCTGTATGGAGCAGTGTTGGGTAGTCAAGAAACAACAAATCCAAAAAATAAGTATGGTAAAAATGCGTATGCTGAGATGGATGAATGGAAAAACTAGAAAAGGTAGGGTCAGAAATGAACTGATTCAAAAGAACCTAGGAGTAGCTTCAATAGGTGATAAAATGAGAGAATGTAGACCAAAATGGTTAGGTCGCGTGCATAGAAGACCTTTACAGCACCCATCAGAAAAAGTGATCTGCTACAAGTTGAAGGGGGACATGGGTAGAAGTAGTAAGAAATGATTTAAGCACCAATTATTTAACAATGAAATTGAATTAAATAGGATGGATTTTTATTTATTTTTTTGGTAAGGAAACAAAATTCATGTAGCCAATCCCATATAGTTGGGATAAGGCTTGGATGATGATGACAATGATTTTTGTTTGGATTCTTATCGTTGTGCTTTTACTAATTACAGGAGTAAAGTGATCCATGTCAAAAATGACGTATTGTAGTAGTCATAAGGTGGGATTTAAATTTTACTGAAATTGTTAAATATTGGGATTTCTTTTGGGTTGTTGCTAGAATAAGATCTATAGAGCAGAAAACTTCACTAATTTTAGTTGAAAATAGAGATATAAGGGGTAGACATAATTTCTTAAGCTAGTTTAAGAAAATTAACAAACTATTTCTCTTGTTTAATTGTTTTGCCAGTTTTGGTGGAAAAAGTGTAGAAATGGAATGTTTACTGTGAAGTCTTTTTATCTGGCACTGGTGAAGGATCAACTGGTTTCAGATCAAGTGGAGGGGGTTTGGACAGAATATTAACTGCAGATCACTTAAAAAGTAGAGGTCTCAGCTTGGCAAATTACTGTGTTTTATGCTGCTCAGATGAGGAGACAGTTCTCCATCTGTTCTACACCTGTAAGGTTGCAAATTTTATTTGGAAATTATACTCTTTACTATTTGGGGTCAGAGCATTTCAGCCAAGATCAACAGCAGAACTCTTCTCAGCCTTGTCAAGTATCAGAGGTAGCAGGAAAGCAAAAGATAATATGGAGTGGAGCTGCAAACCTTTTGTTGTTTGCTGGGTATCTGGAATGGAAAAAACAGAAGAGTATTCAAAGGTAAATCTAAAAATATTGAAACACTTGTAGTTCTGGTGGGGAAACTAGTGGTGGGTTGGGCTTGGGGTGCTCCCAGAATTTGCTCAAATCAGTAAATCAGATATGGGGGAGAATTTTTGGAATGCTCTTGAAATTCATTTGTAATGCCTTTCAGTTTCCAGTTTGTAGTTTTAAAGTTGTTATATATGGTGAGGTGCCACCTTCTCACCTCTCGGATTGTATTTCTTTCTTTTGTTTAATGAAGTTTCTATTTTTACTCTTCAAAAAGAAGTTTTGGTACTGAAATATCAAATTTTCTATTTTGAGTCTTGTCAAAACCTAGTTCAAAATTCCAACTTCAAACCTAGTTTGAGACAACCTGAGTTCAGTTAACAAAGATATTTTTTTGACTCATTCTTCGGTAGAGACATGACCTTGGATTTGATAGTTCTGGGGAACACAATTTCTGCTATTCACCCCACAGTTGGAATAAGGTAGATAGTGATATGATGGTAATTATGTATGAGCTAAGTTTATTTAATAGAAAAGAATAGAAAGGGTGAGATGCCCAAAGGTTCAGGAAGTATTAAAAGAGAAATCCACAAAAGGTTTCTGAGCAGATTAAGGTGGTCAATGTCACAGCTTCTGGAATAATGAGGGAATATTGGATGTTGTGTCCACTCCCACTATGAGCTTACTTGTTTATTTACTTTTCGATGCAAAGGAAGCTTGCTACAATAATCAGGTGTATTCCTTCCCACAAAATCATCCTTGATCACCATACAAGATTGTGTGGAGTGCCCTGGGGCTAATCCAGTTGTTGACGAATTAGCTGGACCGGATTTGTGATGAGGTCCACCACTTGATTGCCCTGATGCCCTCTTTGAGCTTGAGGTGGAAAGGTATTTGGTTTTAGTATCAAAAGCTTAAGTTATATAATAGTTTTAGATTTTTCTTCACAAAAGGACTTTAACTTCTAGAATTTGATCTATTTGTCCTTTGACTTAATGACAGAATGGTAAATGCTGGAACTACTTTTCTTTGCCCTAGACACGTAAGCACAAACATGCGTGTCTATATACACGTCATATGTTTATGTGCTTGTGCATGTGTGTGAACAAACAATCATTGGAAGGAATTTTAAGACTCTATTCCAAGTTTTTAAGTATGAACGGGTACATTTCTTCAAATATTTAAGGGTAGTTTGCAATAAAAGCATATTTTTCACCATCATATGCTTTGTTCTTTATATTTGATTAATTACTTTATGTTCAAAATTCGAATAGGTTGCTTAGCTAGGGAGTTTCCTTTGTTGTAATAACTGATGTGTATTGTCAATTGATGCAGAGGCAGATGGTGCTCTTGACAAGGCAAGGAAGCACAAAAAAAGGCAACTTGAGGACACACTGAGCCTTGTTTTAAAGAAGAGGAAGGTAATACAGAATTTTATGCATTGATTTGCAATTTCATTTGGTTTAAAGGAAGGCTGATGCTTCACATTTTTTAAGTTTTAAGTTAGTGGTTTCCTGATCCATCATTCTATCAGAAGCAGTTATGTGATGGAACAGAATCACCCATTTGCAAGAGCCTATTCTTCATTTCATGATATTCAAGTGTTAAATACCTTAGTTGCTTACCAAAAAATATACCTCAGTTTATCTTTTTATTAAAAGCTTAAAAAAAAATTTGGCAATGCAGAAAGGAAGAGAGGTTTCCAGGTGGGGCTGGGGTTTGCTAACCTAAGGGAGAACTTCTCAGATACATTTTTGTTTTAAACACAACAATGATTTCTTTCTCAGATACATTGGTTTTAATGATTAAATGTGTAGTGTCCAGAAACAGTGGGCACAGTCGTACCACCTAAGATATTGACTATATGTTAGGTTTGACAAGTTCTGATATAAAAGGGCCGTCTGACATGGTTTTTAGGATACAAAATAGAAAAAGTGGACTAGAAGGTTTAAAATAACCATGTCAGAATGATTTCCTTTGCATCCAAAAAAGGAATAGTATGATTGGGAATAAGGACCTATACTTTGTTGTAGAAAGGACCCTGATTAGAACAAGGAAGTAAGTCATAGATGGGCATTGTGTACCAGAAAAATTAGAAGTTTGAAAAGTTTTCTGGATATAATGTGAGGGAAAAGGATAAATGGCTTTAAGCAATTTAGGAATAGTGCATGGTTTGAGGCGACATTCTATAAATGTATAGTGAGAGGATGGCAAGGTTGTATGAACTTATCGTGACACAGACAGGTGCTTTGATACAGCTGGTTACCTCCCACATGATTCAATCTGAGTTCTGAGCATAGATTTTGGTCTTACTACAAGTCCTTAGGTTGATGCACTCTGTGTTACAATAGAGTGGTTAGGGTAGTGCATATTTTCATTGGATGGCATAGACATTGGGATCTTGGTGACTACATCAGAGGGGTTAGATTGCTCACATCCAGGGTTGACATCATATTCAAGTGATTCCCTGGCCATCCAGTTCGTTGGTAGATGACATGGCAAGTGGGTTGTGAGGAGTTGCTTCTATTAGGTTGTTTGAACAAGTCTTTTATGAGTTTGTTTATTCTTTGCAGTGCTGATAGCCTCTTCTAGAGGTTTCTTTGGTCAAGTTCCTTGTCTTTGGAGTCTTGAAGATTGTTTTTGCAGTTTGCAGAATTCCCCCCACCCCCCCATCTCTCTCTCTCTCTCTCTCCCCACCCCCCCAGTATTGTTTCACCTATTAGTTATCCATTAAAAGATTCCTATATATGCATATATTGGTAGCATTTATTGATATATGATAATGAGCCAATTGTACTATGAGGACTTGTTTATGGAAGTTGAATTATCTCCCCAGAGCTTTTCATGGATGACCCATTTCTTCCTTTTTGGATTGTTGATTTTTTTTTTTTTTTGTTTAAGCAATTGTATCAAGAAAACAGATAATTAGTAGCATTTGGATTTGATATATATATATATATATATGATCCTCTCTAGGAGCGCTCACACCTGGACCAGCATTTGCATTTGTAATCAATTACCAAACTGTGTGTGATGGAGTCAATATTGTTTGCTCTTGTACAGGAATATGAAGAGAAATTGAGAGAAAAGGGTGAGACACCAGTTATGTTTAGGTAGGGAATATTATAGCATTTTTCTTATTTGTAATAACATTTTATGTATCGGGTGCTGATTTAGCTTTAAAATTTAATATCTCATATCTGATTCCTTTATTCCCAAACTATCATTTCTATGTCTTTTGCTGCAGCCACTTAGGTCCTCCTCATAGACGGACAACTGCGGAAGAAGAAGAAAGAGTGAAACATCCAAAACCAGAGGTATTTCAGGCCTTATTCATGTCAAATGATAATATTATACCTTCCCATCTGCTTACTTTGAGTAGCATTAATCAATTCATGGTTGCAGGATTCTGTCTATTATCATCCAACACTAAACCCTACAGGGGCACCACCTCCTGGAAAGCCTCCCATGTACAAGTCATCTATAGGTTATTTAACTTTGCTTGAACATTTGACAATGTTGTTGTTTTCATTGTTACTGTTGTATAAATTATCTGTGTTGTTTTTGTTACTTCAGGGCCTAGGATTCCCTTGCCAGCAGCTTCATCAAGTAGTACAGCATCATCATCGAAGCCAGAGACAGAGGATGATGCTTTAGTAGTACCTCCTCCACCCCCTCCACCCTTGCCAAATGCTGATGAATTGGGTTCTAAAGATGGTTCTGTTCTGCCTTCATCTTTGCCTTTACCTCCTCCACCTCCAATGCCACCAAAGCCTGCTGCAGTGGATTTAGGTACTAACTTGCCCCCACCACCTCCTGGCCCCCCACCTAAAGAAAAAGTGGCAGTTCAAACTCAGCTTCCTCCTGCTCCACCAATCCAACAACCTACTCAGTCACCTCCACCAGGCACCAGTGGAAGCATGAGGGAAAAAGGTCAAACTGGAGCATCAAATGTCTCAGATATCAAGGAGTTGGATAAGGTAATCTCTCTTGGTTGGTTTTGGATAACAATCCTATACCAAATGAAAATGCGACAGAACTCGTATATATTGACACTCCATTATTATTTCTTACTTATGTGTAGGTATATTCTATTTAGCTATCTGTTTGCTCTTTCCTTCCAGATACGACCTGTGCTCCCCCCACCTCCGCCACCACCTGGTTTGCCGCCACAATTGGGTAATCACCAACCTAAAGGTGCAGTTTCTGAGCCTGATGCCAGTATTTCTATGGGGAACAGTGATGTCCCTAAGATGATTCCACCTCCACCACCCCCAAAGCCACAAGCTGCAGTGCCTAGACCTGTCTTGATTCCTACTTTACAGCCTGATGTATTACCCCCAGGTATTTCACGATTCCCACCACCTCCTCCACCTCCAGATGTGCAGTCTTCACTATCTGGCCTTGGTCTTCCTGGCAGGCCTGCCCCACCCGGAATGGCCATCCCACCAATTCCAAGGCCGCCTTTTGGTCCACCACCTGGACCACCTCCAATGATGAGACCACCACTCCCACCTAGCTCTCTTCCTACCTTACAGGAAGATGATAATGGTGCAACTAGACCTTCTGTACCTCAGAAGCCATCTTATGTCAAGTCAGCAGCATCAACAGTTGTGAAGAGGCCACTAGCACAGCATACCCCAGAACTTACAGCTATGGTGAGTCTTGATCCTTTGTTATGGCACTAGGCCCAAAGTACAAGTACTAATCGGGAATTTTCCCTAGTTTTAATGACCCTTAATGTTATTATGAATTAGGTTCCTGCATCTGTACGAGTGAAGAGAGAGACTGCTGTTCCAAAAGCAAAACCAAAGCCATCATTGTCAACAGGGGCAGCAGTTACCCATGCAGCAGTAGTTCCTTCCATTCCTCAGAAGTCAGAATTGGTAAACAATTTATCGGCACCAAAGACACAGAGCATTGACGACTCATATATGGCATTTTTGGAGGACATGAAGGCTTTAGGTGCACTTGATGGCTGAGCTATACTTGTAGCTGGTGAGAAGTTGCAGGGAGCACTGAGTGAAGAAACATGGAATGAAAAAAGAAATCGGGCGAGGGCTCTTGTAATGAATTGAGGGTCTTCGTTAGTTACTGCTTTAGTTAGCCTTGATCGCCTTATCTAAGTGTGCCTCCCTTGCGCCATTGGGGCTGTTTTTTATTGCTTCCCAAGGATGGTGGCTGTTTCCATGTAATGATTGACCATAAATTTTACCTGGGCCAACTTGGAAAATGCATTACTTGAGTTGAGACGAAGCTCATACATACAACTGCTACTTGTTTTCTCTTATATGTGATTTTACACTCTTTTCCAGGTTTCAGGCGAGGATATTGATGTAAATTAAATAATGTCCAATTATTCTACTCTAGTGGCCTTTTTTTTTTAAGAAAAAGAGAAGCAACTTCATTGATGATCAGAATATTTAAGCTGTATATGGTAGTTGGTAGTCCTGTTGCTTATATACTTATCTTTCCTTTGCAAGCTACAAATGCTAGAATATGAGCGGCTTGATTAGTAAGCCTATTTACATGAATAAAATAAGTAGAACTGAAGTTTTGTAGTAGTTTAGTAGTATGATGCACATAGATATGTTCTATCCATTCAAAAGGCTTCCTGCTGTGAGAAAAAATCTACTAAACTTTTTGAGTCACTGTATACTGTGATACTAGGTATATCCATATGTGAAGCTACTTTGAGACCTGCGACAAGTGATTTCATTTCTTCATCGTAGCTAGACGTTGCCCGGCAAGGTGCACCTTCTGCAAGGGTTTCTCTTGTGATGAGTTTGATGATGAATGCCCTTCCTGCATTACCTGTACATGGATCAAAAGATCCATCGATATGTAAAGTGTGCATATTTGTGGATGTAGAGCTTGACCCCGTGGTAGTATATTGGATTTGGCTTTGCAATGGTTCACTATATTTGTCAGCTTTTACTATCACTTCTTGTGGATGCCATAAGATGTTCCCAAACACATTTATTTCTTGCTTTCCATTTGAAGTAGAAAATCAGGCAGCCTCTCCCAAATAGCTGTGAAAGACTTGTTGGCTTATCTGATATTTCTTGTATTGAGTTTAGCCATCCTATGGACAGGTTTAGACTTTGCCCTCTCTGGATTAAGTCCAATTTGTGCATGGCACCAAATTGTTCTGGCATTGGTGCAGGTAAAGAATAGATGACTTGTCGTCTCCACTTCTTGTCGGCAGAATACACATTTTAACTCAGGAAGCCAGGCTTTGCATTTCTCTTTTGTGAGGACCCCATTCCAAAGGAGTTTTCATGCAAAGATTTAGAAGCAAGGTGGTATTTTCGTATGGGGAAGTTAGCAGTTAGTTGCCTGTAACATGAACTTATTTTCAATTCCCCTTATGGAGTTTTCTTCCAAATGACCATGTCAGAATCTAGCTCTGGGTTAGGTTGTATCTCTAAGATTTTTTTAATATAGTTGGGGTCGAAGAACTCTAGAGGCCTTGGTCCCACATTCTGTGTAATATTAACCTCTCTGGATATGGATTGGATATAATATGTAAATATTGCTGTTCTAGCTACTAGTAGAGATAGAGATGTAGGTAAGGTTAAAAGTATCTTTGATTGTAGGCCTGTGACTGGCAGGACCCTACTTATCCGGCTGAAATAGGGAAACATCAAACAGTCCTCTTTGTATCTCTCTGCGCTCCTTGTATTTGAGGAAAATCAAATCCCTAGTCTTGACTATCTAATAAATAGGGGTTGGGATTGGTATTTTACAGATTAGCTTGGTTGGAGACAGTTATTCACTCAATATGAAATTGCATGAACCCATAGTGTTGCCGCAATAAAACGACGTCAGGCCACTAAAGTCCAAAGTAGCCGTAATGAGCATTCGCTTTTTGATCTTTGTAGGGAGACTGTGACTAGTACCACCACTGAATTGCTGCGTAGTGGGCCGTTGGCCGACGAGCCAGTTGCCAGTGACGATAGCTCTGACTCTATACATGCATCATAATCATAAGGGAAATTGTCTACTCACGAGTTTTCCATCTCTTAAATTCATCACAACTTTTCAAAATGTCAAACAGATTAATTGGTGTTCATATATTATTATTTATTATTTTAATTTTTATAGATAAATATAAAATATATACATATATATTTAATATTTAGATATGAAAAAAAAGTAAAAATTCAAAAAGTATTTTTAATTATAAAATATATAAAAACATAAAAATTACAAAAAATTTTAAATAAAATAAAAAATATTTTCAAATTATAAAAGCTATAAAAATTGAAAAACAAAAGCAAAAAATAAAAATTGTAGAAAAAACATCAAAAATTATAAAAAAACACAGAATACGCAAATAAATAACAAAAAATACAGGAAAATTATAGATTATAGAAAATAGAAAAATGTGAAAAACAGAAATTATAAAAAATATTGGAAATTATAACAAAACACTAAAAATGCAAAAAAAAAAATGAAAATTGAAAACTGAAAAAAGACAAAAAAACTTGAATAATATAAAAATTGGATACCTTTTTCCTCTAAGGGCCTGTTCGTTTGCTTTGAAGTCTGACATCTGAAAGTGCAATAATTACATTAAGAGGTATATTTATTTCCTATGCAAAAAATGTTATTTTGAATTCTGAATTCTGAAAATTATCAAATATCCATTTTGACCCCATATACGAGAGTTTTTGTTTGTTTTTTTTTTTTTTATTTATCATTAGAAAAACAAGAAGTTATATGATTACACTTTAAGAGATAAGAGATGAGAAGAAACAAACAACCACTTTTCTCTTAAAATTAAAAGATTCCTCTTAAGAGATAAGAATTAAGAGGAAGCGAATAGGCCCTAACTCATTTGAGGGTAATTTAATCATAAAAATTGTTATTTATGACAAGCCTAATTGCTCTGACTCTATTGATGCATTATAACAGAGCATATCCAAATCCAACCACACAATGTCATATTTTCTGGAACTGGAAGGAAGGATGACGATCTCTTCTTATATAGATTATAGATTATAGATTATCTAAACAAGGGGGAGAGTCGAGAGATGCTATATAATATACAGGAGACAGGTTCTTTGATTCTATCCTACCAAAAAATGAAAACCAACTTCCACTTTCAGCTTGACCAACATGCATCTCTGTGTTTCTTTCTTTATGAAGGAATGACTATGAACCATTACCATCAGTGTTGTCAGTGTTCTCATCTTTCTTCGCTTTAGGTAGGTTTTGTTTAGAAGAGCCATGTTTTCTAACTTTTTCTCGAAGACTGAAAGTTTGAAACGAGAACGAGTAAACGAATGAACAGTCCAACGACAAGCTGACTATTTAATAAATTCGGGTTAGACGACCATTTACCTCAATGTCTGAATCAGAAATTCTATTATATTGAGTTGTTTTCTGTTTCTGAACTCCACTCCCCGGTTCCTTACCACCGCTATTAATTTATTTAAATTAATCCGCACCAGACATTGAAAGAAGACTCCACCATCACCAAGTTGATACTTGAGGGTCAACACTCTCGTCTGTCAATGGAGACCTTTATTTTATTTTGATAGATATAGACCTTTAAAATTTAAGCAATAAAACACTCACTATCCCCTTGTTTTCAGATTTTTTTTTCCATATAAAATCTGAACTCTCTTTCAGCCATGGAGTAAGTAGAAATTAAAAATTTAATGGAGAAATATACATGCGAAATTAATTTAAGACAGGCACGGGAAGATGAACAAAGGTTTGTGGGTACTGGGTAGCTATTAATCCAAGATGACATTGAAATCCTGGAAGGATTTGGATCTGCTATAATTTTGTTTTGTAGGTGCCGCCGGTCAATTGTGCATGTGGAAAGCAGGAAAATTATTGAATTCCTGAGTTTCTTAATCCCCCATTGGAGAAGATACAAAAGTGGATTGTAGTTGTTGGCGTTTCCTCTTTGTCTCTGTGCAGGCTGCGGAAGACATGGCTTGTGTTCTTGCCAGTCTTCTCTTGTTTGCTTACTTGCTGCTGCTTCCTGGTCTTTCTTCTTCGCATCCCTTATGCACTGACTCAAGTGGGTCTCTCTTTCTCCCTTTCTTTTCTTTGATTTTGTTTTCCTTAGCTTTCATACTTCTTTTGCAATTCGTAAAATGTATTTCATTTATTTTATTTTTCCTGAGTAGAGGCACCTGTTACTCCGAAGACGCCTCTGGCCTTCTGTCCCTACAGTGGAAATGTCTGCTGTGACTCTGCCAAAGATCTAGAACTGCAAAAACAGTTTCAGGCTATGAACATCTCGGATCCTGCCTGTTCTTCTATTCTTAAATCGATCGTCTGTTCGGTAAGCCCTAATTACTATGCAATTAGACTGTACCGACTACTAAGTTTCACACTTGGATTGTTTGGTTACAGGAAAAAAAAAAAACAGTTTATCTTGTTTGTGTTTGGTTAATCCATGTATTTCGTTTCGGTATCTGAATTCACAATGAGCATTGTCTACTAATAGATGTTACATATTGCTGATGAAATTGGAGTCTCATATTTGTCGAGGATCTTTGTTGGTTTTTGTTGTAAATTAGTGTCATTCACCTCATTTTGCTTTGTGAAAAAACTGGATCAAGTAATACTGGAATCTTACTTACGAAGAGCTTGTAATAACAGGTGTATGATTTCTCTTAGTCATCTGTAATGTCATTAAATATCACAAATAATGACTTGTCTTAAAATTTACCACGCCCCCTCTAGGTGAGTTGGTATTGGCACTGGACTGAGGTCTCCTGTTTGACAGGGCGGAATTCCCCTCAAGGTGTATATCCTAATATGTAGACGCACCTTTAGATGCTTGTCTGACCTGCACTTTCCCCCTGGGTCTTAAATTGAATGTCTGTGATGCTGTAAAAGGCACTGCCCTCTCAAAAAAACAAAAGGAAAAAGAAACAGACTGTCTCAAAATTTCAAACTTACTCCCTTTCACCACATGTTTGCAGATACCATCATTGTAGGCAATCTAGTAGTTTTTGGGAGGAATCACTCTAATAGTAAGAATCACCTTATCCTGCCTAAGAGGGTGGGCTAATGGATTAATTCCTTTTTGTCTGCTCTGCTATTTAAGTCGTAAGGCCAGATTTTCTATTAAGGATTGAGCTAGCAAATCTTTTCTCACTGCCTCAACCAGGTTTTTATGGTCATCCACTTGATCCCTTAGAACCTTCAACTTGAAATCAGATAATTTCTTATCAAAAGTTCATAGCATGAAACAAAAGAAAAATAACAAGCTTCAAAGAACTGTATTTGTGAGTTTTGCTCACTGATTTGTTCAATGGTATCATGGAAAGCTCATTGATTTCTAAATAGGCATTGATGAAGGAAGATTTGGCCCAACCTCGCAAATCACGGCACGTGGCAAAAAAGCAAGTAGCTCGGCACTTAAAACAGCGTACCGAGGGTACAAACATCAAAGGGAAGAGACCAGCGGTCCGAACTCTCTAGCAAGGTGCTCGAACTCCCTACTTAGAGCTCGAACTCCCTGCAAGGAGCCCGAACTCCCTGCAAGGTGCCCGAACTCCCTACTTAGAGCTCGAACTCCATACAAGGAACCCGAACTCCCTGCAAGGTGCCCGAACTCCCTACTTAGAGTTCGAACTCCCTACAAGGAGCCCGAACTCCCTGCAAGGTGCCCGAACTCCCTGCTTAGTGCTCAAACTCCCTACGAGGAGCCCGAACTCTCCCTTTGGCCCCGAGTCACACAAAGCAGAGACCCGAACTGGCCCGTCTTATGACAGTTCGGGGCCCCCCTTATCCGAACTCAAGACTTTGCCTCGCGCACCGCTCCAGGTACTTCGCTTCCGGAGCATTAAACTAGACGAACCACACCGTACCCGACACCGAAGGAGTCTGTATCCAGAGGCGGCGCACCCCAGTTTGAATGCGCCACAAGCAGTGGCGCCCGTAAACCTTCCTGCCACAAGCATCCCCTTTCCTCTCCCTATTGAGACAACCTTTACTGAACCGACTGCCGTCCCTCTGGCAGCCAGCCAAAACCAGTTGGATGACCTAATGCAGTGCATGCGGGCAATGCAAGCCCAAATGCAACAGTTCTAGCAACACCAGCTTCACCAGCACCAAGTGCTGCACAACATCTCCCAGTATCACTATCAACAGCA